TTTATTTTATTATTTATAATAAAATTTGATTTTGGAAAAAATAATTTTTTTTAATTAAAAATTGATTTTATTAAATGGATGATAGAGGGGCGGGGATATCCGAACCCGTTTGAGACGAGTTTGAGTTTTAATTCTTCATCCCCATTGGTATTGGAGCGAGGAACGAGTATTGGATGGGGATTCGAGTTTGTGTTTGGAGAAGGTAAAAACCGTCCCCGACCCGCCCCGTTGCCATGCCTAGGGGGAGCCTTACAACTCAAGTGAAACATTGCACCCTTATTTGTAGCACACTAAGGGACATTCACCTGATTTATTTCATCGACAAATTCTAAATAACACTTAAAACAATTAATCAACAATAATATCTTCAAATTTGCCAAACATAGAAAAAGGGAGACTCTCATGTTATCGTATGGTATCTCTTACATTGTTTTGATATTTTTGCTAATTTGTTTGTATGTTATTTAATCTGGTTGTGTATTTGAAATTTGCCTATCAATTTGTATTCGAGTAATTATACTTTATTCATATTTGAGTTGTACTATTATCACTTTGGCTATTGTGTATTTGTAACATTATAACCCCTCATTACTTAATAAAATAAGAGTATTTGTTCCTTGATAATGCTTATTTTCTTTTTTAGCCTAGCAAGTTGTATTTAGTCGTTTCATCAAATGCATATTGAATCACAAGTTAAAACTCTTAAAAATCAAGATGTTAGATGTTTGACCAGAATTATATACAAAATGTGATTTGAATCATAAACTTGTGAAAAAAACGGGACATGCTACTAAAAGGCTTGATTCAAATCATAAAATATTCCTGATTCAAATCACAGACTCTTATGACTCGAATCAAGTGCAAAGCATGAGTCGAATCTTGTGTCTCAACCAAGTCATATTTGGGCTATACTCTTATTGATTCAAATCACGAACTTAACTTGATTTAAATCATGATATCTTATAATTTGAATCAGGATTTCCTCTTGACTCAAACCACGACTTTGCAAAACCCATTTTTTCCATCTTAGATTTATATAGTTGTTTATTTGGTGAAAGCAACAAGTGAGTGAAAAACCAAAAATGTTGAAACCCATTTTCGAGACAAAAATAAAATTTGTCTTCTCTTCTTTAGCGTGTCTACCCATCACAACGAATCTTTCTCTTCTTCTCTAGAAAACTTCTTGAATGTGAATTCATGTCATACTCCCTTTTTTTGTTACATTTTATTCTTGTGCAATATGTTGTTGTGTTGAGTGAATTTGAGAAAGTGAGTTGATTAATCTTGTAGTGTTGTTCATGACTAATCAAGTTCATGATAACAATCAAGAACCAAGACCCATTTACCCATAAATTTTAGATAACCTTGTGTGTGTTCTTCATTCATATTCATCTAATCCCTTGACTAACACCTTATGTTTTAGATTGTGTGTGAGGTATTTTGGCATTGTTCATCATCTACATCCTTAGTCATTTTCCATTGTTGTAGACGTTCATCTTTAAAGATTGAGTATTGAGGGAGACTAGAGGTACATTAGGGCATATAATATTATTGTGTGAAGTTTGTTGTTTGTAACATATGCAAGTATCATTTCTTGAATATCGTTTGATCTTTGTTGCTATCTATCAAGAAGTGAGTTTCACTATACTCCAAGGAAGACTTTGGCGAAATCAAGTATCAATTGTCTGTAAGACAAAGGTGGAAGTTATCCATCTTTGGTGAAGTTGGAGAAATATTGCTCGTAGACAAAGTTAGGAGTTGTTCAATCAACAATTAACTAATGACAATCACTCAGACAAGAAATCAATGGGATCATATGGATTGCCACATACAAATACTTGGAGCAAGTTACTGTGGATAACAAGATTATTGGATCAAGATCATTTAGAGATCTTGTGTTTGTTAGTAGTTTGAGTGTCTGCATCAATATAAGGAGTTACCGTTTGATAGTTCGTTGTAACCAAAATACTTGTATCAAACTTATCATAATAGTGAAAGACCGTGATTATTTCCAGATGTTATTAACACCATTAAAGAGTGGAGTATGAAAACAATGACGAACACCGAACCACTATATATCTCTGTGTATCTTTTCTTCTTCTCTTATCTCTTTTAATTTTTTATTATTCATTAATTTTAATGTATAATTTTAGGTTTATGGTGTATCAATCTTATTGAATTATGATAAAGTCAGTTATGTCTTCATGAAACATATATGTAAATTTTTTTAAATCAATTAATTTAAATCAACTTTAATTGTCTTCTGATTTAGTTGCATTAGAACTTAGAAGCAATCAAATATTTAATAACATCGTATATCATTTCATTTGGTTCAATTCATTGAAATACTTTCAAACTCTCGTTTTTATATTTTACTTCCGCACTTCTTAAAATTTCTAATTTCTTTTATTAAACCTAAAATAATTTTGAAATTATCATGTGTATTCAACCTATTATAAAAAAACACATGTTTGCATTATAAATAAAAAACCTTAAAATCAAGAAAATAAATAATCATGGACCCGATGTTCTAATATCTCTCTCTCTATATATAATTGATTCTTGTTTCATCCATCTCTACGATCACTTTCTCCATTCGCCGCACTTCATCTCCGAACCAGGTGAAGCTCATAACATTCTTCTCTATTTTCTCTCTGTTTTTATTTAATTTAATTTAATTTATTTATTTTCCCCATATAATATCCATTATTTTCCCCTGAATTTTTACGTCCATAATCGATTTTTACCCCACTTATCCTAAAATCACTTATAAGACTCACAATTCTCCATCGTTAACTGATCTAGGGTTTTTCAAAGTTCCTCTCTTTTTGTGAAAATCCCAATTAGGTTTTCGTCACTAATGGCCCGTTTGGTTTTGCCATCAAAGACTTTGGCCTTTTCCAGGAAGAGTCTACTGGGTTTGATCTCACCTGCTCCTGTGTGTGATTGTTTTGTCCATACAACCATTTCTTCAATCTTTGATTTTCATGATTCTGTTTTACTGAGTTTCTCAAGTTTGAAGAACTGTTGCTTAAGTCTTTTTTTTATAGTTTTATTGCTTTTCAAATTATGGAATTTGATGATTGTTTACTTTGTTTCTGCAGCTCCAGATTAATTATTTTCAGAAAATCTCGAAAAGTAGTGTCAGATATAGGCATTTTCTTTCATCAAAGGTTTTTATTTAAAATTCATTTCTTATATTAAAAGTTACAGTTAGTTATTTTGTTTCATGACTTTACTGAACTGATTGGTTCATTGATTGGTATGGCAATGATATTCACAGGTTATTCTCCGAAAGAATTGTTGTGCATTTTATTCTTCTGTGCCTGTAAGTTTATATATTTTGTGCTGGAATTTCAATGTTTCTGTGTTTAAAGATATTCTGCTTTGCTTTATGTTGATAGCCTCGTTTAGTACAGTTTTCGTGTTTGATTAGTTGGTTGTTTATGTTCTTGTATTGTTTACCAGGCTGTCAAGAAAACGAGTAGGAATTTAATTTGTTCGGTTGCTACCGAGGATTTAGCCAAGCAAGTTGAAGAGCCGAAAATGGCAATGCCAACAGAAATTTTCTTGAAGGATTACAAAAAGCCTGATTACTACTTTGACACTGTAGGTTTTATATGAGTTTTTTAGATTATGTTTTGTTCATGTTGTTGCCGATTTAAATTTTTTTCATTTCTTTTCTTGTGCTGCATGGAACTATTCCAGGTGGATCTGAAGTTTTTGTTGGGAGAGGAGAAGACTATAGTTAGTTCTAAAATTGCTGTTTTTCCTCGCACTGAAGGTGAACTTTTGTGGTTTCATTCTTGACTTTGTAATTTTTCCGATCAGCAGAAATATATGCAGCATTAATCATCCTTTGTTATGAAACAGGTTCTGCCCCCCCGCTGGTTTTGGATGGACTAGACATGATTTTAGTGTCAGTTAAGATTAATGGCAAGGCCTTGAAGGTAGGCATATATGTTTGAGCTGGGCACCATCTGCTTTGCCAACATATTCACTGATGGAGTTTCTTTGCCATCTTGCTAGTTTATCAAGCAAGGATGTTCACTTTTTATTTCCCGATTTCTTTGCCTTCTAGCTGAAATGTTAAGCATTGTTTTCATCAGAAACACTATATGAATAGCAATCATGGGTGATTGGAGGGTTGCATAGAATTATTTTGAAGATAAATATATTATCATGTGTTTATCCACAGGAGGAAGATTATCATGTGGATGCACGTCATCTAATAATCCGGTCACCTCCTACTGGTAAATATGATCTTGAAATCGTTACTGAGATTTTCCCGCAGAAAAACACATCACTAGAGGTAATAAAATTTTCCTGCTTGAGTGTTGTCTTTGTATATATTGCCTCTATTCTACTTTCGGTTGCTGCAAATCAGAGTCTGAAGAGAGGAGACGGGGGATATGCTTACTTACTATGAATTTGATTTCCTACAGGGGCTTTATAAGTCATCTGGGAATTTCTGTACTCAATGTGAGGCAGAAGGCTTCCGTAAAATTACGTATTATCAGGTTGGCGTCTCAAAAGAGTTAATATGATGATGATCAGATCTTCACATTTTAAAATTAATTTCCACATCAAATTAATGTATCCTAATGACCTATCATCTATCAGGATCGGCCAGATATAATGGCAAAGTATACAGTTCACATTGAGGGAGACAAATCACTGTATCCAGTATTGTTGTCTAATGGAAACCTGGTTGAAGAGGGTGACTTGGAGGTGATTTTTTATTGCATTGCACAGGCTTCCTTGGTGTTTACTATTTATAGACATTGAACTATTCTTTGCTGTAGGGTGGTAAACATTATGCTATTTGGGAGGACCCTTTCAAGAAGCCTTGTTATCTGTTTGCTTTGGTTGCTGGGCAACTGCAGAGCAGAGATGACATATTTACTACTCGCTCTGGTAGGAGGGTGTCCCTTAGAATCTGGACGCCTGCAGATGATGTGCCTAAGACTGCTCATGCTATGTATTCTCTGAAAGCAGCTATGGAGTGGGACGAAGATGTCAGTTATTATTTGGTTTTTACTTTTAGGTCACTAATACACGGTTTTGGATTCTGAAGAATTTTTCTGTCTTGTCATATGCTCCGCGAACAGGTTTTTGGACTTGAATATGACCTGGACCTCTTCAATATTGTTGCTGTGCCAGATTTTAATATGTAATTTCTGCTTACCTTTTTGTTTGTGATTTTTCTGTCATGTAACCTTACATGTATTGTGCCGTCGTACATTTGATAAGATGATATATCATGACGAGATTAGTTTGCAGAAAGTAATGTTGTTTTCTTGTTTTTGTAATGATCAGGGGGGCCATGGAAAACAAAAGCTTGAATGTACGTCTCCTTGTCAGCTTGTTTTGGCGGGTTGTTTGTCTCAACTCTGACGTTTATACTTCCCTTGGCTTATTTGTAGATTTTCAATTCTAAGCTTGTACTGGCTTCTCCAGAGACTGCTTCAGATGCAGATTATGCTGCAATATTAGGAGTTATTGGCCACGAGGTTTGTAACTACCACATATCAGCAAATGTGTGGGATCTTAAATTTTTGAATAACTCAACTTCCTTGGCATTTGTTAATTGCAACTAAAGCTTATTTCTTATCTATTATGCAGTATTTCCACAATTGGACTGGCAACAGGTGGTGCTTCTTATGATCTTGCTATCTTTTCAACTAAGGGTTTTATATGATCTTATTATCACTCAAATAATTTTAGAATGTTTTTTCCTGCACACTTCTATTTATGGATTTATATTTGTGATATCATAAACCTGACTTTCCACATGAGGATATTTGACATTTGAATTTGAGTTCACGCAGTGCATCTGTAATTTGTATTTTTATATCTTTCCATTTTCACGCGTAATTAAATATTTTTAATTTTATAATGATATCAGAGTGACATGTCGCGACTGGTTCCAGCTTAGTCTGAAGGAAGGTCTCACTGTTTTTCGTGATCAGGTACTATCTCTTGTACTCAGTTTCTATGTTTCAATTTGGACATCACATTATTGCTGGATCAGGCTTTTGCCCATTGTCCAAGATTCCCCGAACATTACGTTCCTTTTTTAAGTATTTTAATATAATAATGAGCTGCCTCAATTATTGGCAGGAATTCTCATCTGACATGGGAAGTCGTACTGTAAAGCGGATTGGTGATGTTTCAAAACTTCGGAATTACCAGTTTCCACAGGTTACATATCCTTTTCATTTTCCATTTCTGATTATTCATTTGTTCAAATTCTGTATCGGTGGATTTTCTGTCCCCATTTTACTCTTAACTGATACTGTCATTATTATTCATCTTTTACTGTTCTTTTTAACTAGAATTCTGATGCTTTTATATTTATTTTCCAGGACGCAGGTCCCATGGCCCATCCAGTGCGACCACACTCTTACATCAAGGTTAGAATTTAGATACCGTCACTCATCCATTTGTCTCCAAAACTCCCCCTTAACCCCTTGATATATGCCCTATAAGTTTGTATTTATATATATTTTTTTTCTTGACAGATGGACAATTTCTACACAGGCAAGCTTCTCTATTTTTAGAACTTCAGATTGAGTCAATATCATATTTGAAATTTTACTCCTGTATGATGATTTCTTGTTGTGTTATCGCTAACTTAACTATTATCTTGACAACCTTGATTAATTTCTGATGTGGCCCTGTCTTCAATGTCAAAATACAGTCACGGTATGTTCATGTGTTTTTTCTCTCTTCAGATTTTGATCAATTTGGTCCAGTTTCTTTCATCATGATATAAAAGTGTTCATAATCATATTTTTTTTCTTCTTTTGCAGGTCTATGAAAAGGTGTGATATTTCCTTCTAAAATTTTAATCCCTCCATGTCCATTAGTTTTCTCGGACAGTTTGTTCTTATGATCCTATCTATCAGGGGGCTGAAGTTGTTCGAATGTACAAAACCTTATTGGGAAGTCAAGGGTTTCGAAAGGTAAGAATGCTTGTTTATCCATCCAATGCCTATGATAATTCTCTTGCAATATCATGATGCCTACCAATCTGATGTACTTTAACTTAGAATCAACTAACAGATTCTCTGTATTTCAGGGCATGGATCTATATTTTAAGAGACATGATGGGCAAGCTGTAACATGTGAAGATTTTTATGCTGCCATGCGGGATGCAAATGATGCAGATTTTGCAAATTTCTTATCATGGTTTGTATTTTGGGTTTTCTTTTCCCACATTATTATGCTAATTTCATATTCTAACTGATCAGCTAATGTACAGGTACTCTCAGGCTGGGACTCCAGTTGTTAAAGTAAATACTTCTTATAATGCAGAAGGACATACATTTTCCTTGAAGATTAGGTATATACAGATTTCAACTTTTTATTTCTTTTTGATTATCGGAAATTAAATTTTGACTTCTATTTTTTTGATTATTTTTCTCTGATAATATGTTTGATGGGGACATATCTGCAGTCAAGAGATACCACCAACTCCAGGGCAGTCAGTTAAGGAACCCACGTTAATTCCTATTGCAGTAGGTTTGCTTGATTCAAATGGCAAGGACATTCCTCTTTCCTCTATTTATCATAACGGAGCTTTGGAACCCGTTTCAAGCAGTGGCCAATCAGTATCCACTACAGTCCTTAGAGTCACTAAGGTGGTTTGGAACTTTTCTTTTGATATGAATTTCTAACTCATGTTTTAAGCAGGTCACTTAATTATATGTTTAATGTCAACCAAGGCCCCGGCTTTTATATGTATTTAAATGTTTGGCTTTTTTTCTAAGTTTTCTCATTTCTTGGTCCATCACACTGCATGCAGTAAATTTATGAATTCTAATTATGATTACAGATATTTAACAAGGGAAAACTATCAGTTTTCTCATATTATGAAGTGTGGCCATCTCATCTTATGCAATATAATTTAAAGTGAAAAATATGAGTGCAAAATTTTAAAACCATGTTGCATGTCCCTTCACTTGTCAGAGTTGCTAAATGAAATGAATGATCTTTTATATCTTCCTAATATTCCCAAATATGACAGTTATTATGTTGAAATGTTATAAGATGCTGTTCATGGTGGAACTTTTCATCATTCATTTGACTGACAAGTTTGTTTGTATCTACTGCAGAAAGAAGAAGAGTTTGTATTCACTGATATATTTGAGAAGCCTGTTCCATCTTTGTTAAGGGGATACAGTGCTCCTATTCGTCTTCAATCTGATCTTACTGAGGACGACCTGTTTTTCCTATTAGCCAATGATTCTGATGAATTCAACCGGTTTGTGTTCTTCAAAGTTGCATTTTTGTTAATTTTTTCTACAGAAGCATTTTTTTTTCTTTTTTATTTGACAGCATAATGGAAATTCTTTTTCTGCCTTGTTTTAATGACTTAGATGGGAGGCTGGACAAATTTTGGCACGAAAATTGATGCTCAACTTGGTGGATGATTTCCAAAATAATAAGCCATTGGTTTTAAATTCCAATTTTGTTGGTGGGTTCAAGCGTATACTAACTGATTCAAGTCTGGACAAAGTATGCTTAGAAACCTGTTTTACGTCTTTCAGTTTTTTCTTGTGGGATTTATATCATATGATTGAATTGATCGAACATTATGCTCTTTTGTTATCTAGGAATTTGTGGCCAAGGCAATAACTCTGCCTGGCGAGGGAGAAATAATGGACTTGATGGAAGTTGCAGACCCTGATGCTGTTCATACTGTTCGGTCTTTCATCAGAAAGCAGCTTGCTAGTGAACTGAAATCAGAGTTCCTTAGCACTGTATGCATTTTTTATCTGAAGCTGCCTGAAGTTATTAAAAGAAATACCTTTTAGTCTTCCTTGTTCCTTAATGCATATGATTGTTTACCTTTTTGCAGGTAGAAAATAATAAGAGCTCAGGAGAATATGTGTTTGATCATTCAAACATGTCTAGACGAGCTTTGAAGAATGTTGCTCTTGGTATACTTTTTGTTTTTGTAGAATTTGTAATTTGTGTCTAAATCACACCACACACCTATGCATAACCTGTAAAATAAATACAGTACATGCTAATTGATATACCTTGCTAATTCAAATCCTTATCTATGATTGTAATCCTAATAATAAATTGACGATTTTATATTTTTATTGTAACTATTTTATATATAAGATAAATTTTTGTTCAAGATGGTAGCAAGTCATCTATCTCTAATTTTTACTTTTGCGTGATTGGCAGCTTATCTTGCTTCCCTTGAGGATCAAGAATTCACCGACCTTGCACTTCAAGAATACAAAACTGCTACAAATATGACTGAACAGTTTGCAGCATTGGCATCCATAGCCCAGAACCCTGGTAAAATTCGTGATGATGTTCTTGCTGACTTTTATGAGAAGTGGCAGAATGATTACTTGGTAAATCTCCATCTCTATGTTAAAAAAAATACTAGTACTGATTTGTTGTTGTTAAGAATGTGACAATATGATCTTTTTAGCCAATTTCGTGGTGGTGGCTGTTGGGCATGTTTTTTTTTTCTTTTTCTTTTCTATTCTTTGACAACATATCCATATTATAAACCGTAACTATTATCCATGAAGAGTTCCCAAGCATGTTTCCTTGCGCATTACTATGAATATGAAGAGAAGCTCTCCTCCTTTTTGATGCCATTATCTAGGATGAAGACGTCCTTTTGACACCTAACCTAGCTTTTCAAAATGTTACTTTATGTTTTTTGCTGATTGACGACTAATGTAATCTCTTGTTGTACTTGTCTCATCAAAAAATATGAACAGCTCATTTTTTTATTGCACGAGTCATTGGGTTTGAGCTATTACATAGTGAAGTATTTTAGATTGCTAGTTTATACTTGACCTTCCTTTTCAGGTTGTGAACAAATGGTTTGCTCTTCAAGCTGTGTCTGACATCCCTGGTAATGTTGAGAATGTGCGGAAACTGTTAAGCCACCCAGCATTTGACTTGCGCAATCCCAATAAAGTGTACTCTCTCATTGGAGGTTTCTGCGGGTCCCCTGTGAATTTCCATGCAAAGGATGGATCTGGCTATGAGTTTTTGGGAGATATTGTGCTGCAACTTGACAAAATAAATCCTCAGGTCTCTTGATATTACTTATCTTTAAATTATGGGTTCTTTTATGCACATGTTAGATAAAAAATCATTATGTGCTTTTGGCTAATGACTTGAGGTTTTTTGAGATGATTGGTTTTCGATAGTGTGTATGTTGTCAGTTAAATGGTCCTTACATAGTAATTTTAAGATTTGATTTTGTTGAATGTAGGTTGCATCAAGAATGGTGTCAGCCTTCTCAAGATGGAAACGTTATGACGAGACCAGACAAAAACTTGCAAAGGTAATACAGTTATTATTTTTTTTGCCACATTAGCTGTTATTTTTTAAAAATTACTTTACTATTTTGCATAATAACAATCTTACCTCGAGGGCTGTTGTGATTTTTAAAACTAATTGTGTTGTGTTGTTACAGGCCCAGTTGGAGAAGATCTTGTCTTCTAATGGCCTATCAGAGAATGTGTTTGAAATTGCTTCGAAAAGCTTAGCTGCTTAAAGGGCCAATGGTTGGTAAGGAAAACTAAGAAGCCGTCTTTTAAACTGTTATGGCGTATTTTTAGCCAAAATAATTGTTTCTGGCTACTGGTAGCCCTTACACATGGATGCATCTTTCAAATTGAGGCGGTTTCCTTTAACCTGATTCCTGATTTTCATATCAATCTTCCAAGGATGTATGCACTATTTATGCAATAAGGAAAAAAACAGACGTTTATCTTTATTTTGATATCTCCAGGTTCAGCATTATAACAGAAGTTAGAATATGATAACTCTGCAATCTTATTGATCTTATCATCAGCAACATATTTATATTTAATCAATGATTATCAAATCTTTATTTGAACCTTGTTATATATCACAGAATAGACGGATTGATCGAGAATTATATATCAAATCTTTTAAAGTTATTTTACATAAAATTGTATGTTAACTGGATTGATCATTGAAGGCATGTTTAAAGTAAAACCTTGTAAATAGAAAAATTGTTGAAGAATGCAACTGAAGATAAAGAAGTCAATTGAAGAATGCCATCCACTACCTTTAACCATCTTTCATTTTCTGTTATGATAGTTAGCTGGATATAGCAGTTCGTTTTTAAGTCAGTTTTAACTATGCTTCTCTAGTTTTTACATAATTACATAATATCATTCGTTTTTCAATCTTTCTCCAATGCGTTCTAATCGATTCTTTTCATCATGTCTCCTCGTTTGGCTCTGGTTGATTTAGTTCTCGATCAAACATGTCCCTTATATGTTCATTCAAGCATGAACCTTCATTTGGGCATGTTCTATGTGTCGTGCTTGAGGAGGGAAGATGCAAATTGATTTCATTGATGGTACAATTGCTGTTCCTACTGATTCTTTTGATCTCAGCTTGTGCGCATGGAATAGATGAACATGTTTGTTCATTCATGGATTATAAATTTAGTTTTTGAATCTCTAATGTCCATGGAGAATGTAGATGCGTGGAATCATCTGAAAGAACGATTTTCACTAAGTGATCTCATTTGAATTTTCGAACTCCAATAAGATTTATTGATATTAATATTTGGATATTAGGGATAATCGGTAACACCCACTTTTATAAACAGAGGTCACAATGTTAGATAATGCAACCTAATAACTATAAAAATAATTGTTTGATAAAAGTGGTAATATGTTTTTCATTCATTCAAAGGATTAATAGAGACCCTTGGTTACAATCCAACCAATCAAAGGTCTATGAAAACAACCACTCACAAGTCACCACACAACAATCAGTCTCAGAATTTGTAGCAACAATTCGTCCACGTTTCACCATTTTTCTGTCAAGAATTGCAATATGAATTTTGGCAATAACTTGCGTTTCGTCTGGGATATGCTGTACAGTTTGGCCTTGTGGATTGGGAAACAATTTCAGTTGAGAAACATGGAAAACGTTATGAATGACAGCAAATGGAGGGGGTTGTGTATGCTGTGGTGCCATTGTGATCTTCCACGAGAAAAGGACCATAGAATTTAGGAAGTAATTTGTGAACACCACGAGCTTTCAAAGAAACTTGTCTATAAGGATGAAGCTTCAAATAAACATAGTCACCTATAACAAAAATACGGTCGCTGTGATGTTTGTTAGCCTGTTGCACCATTCTGTTTTGAGCTCGCAGGAGGTGAAAGTGAAGGAGTTTGATGACTTCTTCCCTTTCCATCAAGGATCTGTCAACATTCAAATTGGAAGAAGTACCATAAGGTAAATGAATAGGAGGAGATTGTCATACACGACTTCAAAGGGAATGGCGGAATGGAAATTTGTGTTGTACCACAATTCGACTAACGGCAACCATTTGAACCAATGAGTTGGTTTATCAAAACACATACACCTCAAGTAAGTCTCTAAACATTTTTTCACGATCTCCGTCTGCCCATCTGATTGAGGGTGATACGCGGAAGATTTATGCAAGGCGACTCCTTGGAGTTTAAAAAATTCTTGCCAAAAATTGCTCAGAAAAATAGGATCCTTATCATATGTAACAGTCTCAGGTAATCCATGGAGTTTGAAAACTGAATCCATGAAAACCTGTGCAACATCTAAAGCAACATACAGATGTGACAAAGCCATGAAGTGAGCATACTTACCAAGGCGATCCATGACCACAAAGATGACTTGTTTACCAGCTGACTGGGTAACCCTTCTACAAAATCCATGCTGGTTTGAGTCCATATTTGATTAGGAATCGGTAGAGGTTGTAATAAGTAATAACCCCGGGTACGCAGCGAGATCTGGTTCATTCCTTTGACAAATGCCACAATTCTTAACAAATGTAATGAGACGCCGAAAATCCTTAATGGTTAGATCATTGAGACGCCGAAAATCAACACACAGACGACAAGATCCGTCTTTCTTACAAACCAAAATTGTTGGAGAGGAAAACGAGCTAGTGCTGTGTTGTACAATCCCGTGATCAAGCATATCACGAACTATCCTGTCAATCACATCCTTATGTACCACTGAAAATCGATAAGGACGAAGATTGAATGGTTGAGAGCCCTCCCTAAATGAAATTTTGTGATCAAATCCAGGTCTAATGGGAGGTAGGGTACTTTCTTCAAGAAACATGTCAACATATTCATCAATCAACAAGAAAATGGAAGAAGGTAAAGGATCAGTCTGATTAGATGGCAAAGTGTAACATGTTGGTACATTTAATGAGTAGGAGTCAGCTGTTGTGGATAAAAAACACAATTTAGCACCCTTGTGAATTGCATGTGTCAAGGTTTGGTTGTTGATAATTTTGAAACTAGGAGTTTTGGATCCCCTTAGAACAAACTTGCGACCATTCCCGGTGAATTTCATTTTTAACTTATCAAAATCCTAAAGAATTGGTCTTAATTGTAACACCCCAATTCTATCCGACAATTATTATAAAATCAGAGTTATAAAAATTTAACAACTAAATTAAGATGCTACAATTTCAACTTAAAACAACAGAAACATAATTTAATCTTTTGAAAACAACAACTTTCATAACTACGCAGCGGAATCATAATATTCGACTATAAAGAACATAACATCTTTGTCCAACTGAAACAACTTTAAAATCAACATAGTACTTAGTAAATCAATTTAAAATTCAACAACGGGAAATAAAATCAATAGTAAATCAGAGTTATAAAAATTTAACAACTAAATTAAGATGCTACAATTTCAACTTAAAACAACAGAAACATAATTTAATCTTTTGAAAACAACAACTTTCATAACTACGCAGCGGAATCATAATATTCGACTATAAAGAACATAACATCTTTGTCCAACTGAAACAACTTTAAAATCAACATAGTACTTAGTAAATCAATTTAAAATTCAACAACGGGAAATAAAATCAATAGCGAAGCAACAAGCGTTCATCTTCCCGAGTGTTACATATCAGAACAATGACACCGACTTGAACTACTGAACGTAAACCGCCTTCACTCTGGATTGCCTGCACGTTACCAACATCGGGGTAACATTCAAACAGAAGAGGTGATACATCTAACAATATAACTAAACGTATGATAAACATTATATTAGAATCAGTTCATGCAAAATCACCGTTTCACATCTTATAAACAACAACAATCACGACAACATATCAACAAAATATAACGATTAATTCATCTACACAACAACTCAAATATGCAACGTGGAATGTGACTTATTACTATGCACATGCATGTGGTACCAGTAGAGTAGAACTCCCAACTTAAAAATCTGCCAATAAATAGAGGCATCAACAAGACATAAACCTTCAACTTAATATTTTGCCAATCCAGGCCAACTTAACGAGCATCAGCTCCCAACGTGATATGCTATGTATGCGACAACATGATTAACAGAAACAACGACAACATCAACATATAACAACTTTGGCATAAGCCTACAACTTAATAATTGCCAATTATAGAGGCAACACAACAAAATTCATCACCTGCAACTTCAACAATTAATAATAACAACACATCAACTTACACATGCGAACACTGTTATTAACACGGTCCTACTAAAATGCTTCTACTAAATTATTCTGCTGATAAGCCTTTTAATAGTTTTATGCTAAATTAGTGAAGCTATTATTTTCCCGCTACTTAAATTATCTCTACTACTATTATACTTTGGTTACTACCGTTTCTGTTATTTACTACTAGCTCTGCAACTAAAACCATACCAATTACTAATTCTGTAACTTATTAATCTTATCTGCTATATTTATGCTAATCTACTAACTCTTCACTTCTATTATTAATAAATAACCTTTGTTGCTATTCATGCTTTTCTAACTCTGCTACATCCATTTCTGTAACTAAATACTAAAGTAACAGACACACAAGACAAACAATTAAAAGGAGACAATGAATGGGTTTATGCCCCTCAGTAGGCATAACCGCGCCCCTCGACACAAAACATGGTGTCGGTCGCCACCCTTCACCACCATACGTGTGTCGCTCGGCACACAGTCCATATTCCTCACAGTTCTGCAACTTTGTTCAGATTTTTCCTGCGATTAATAGTTCCTTCCCTTCCCATGATCTCATACCAACACTACACGTATTCACAGCAACATAACAACTATACCCACATCAACACATGATAGTTTTCAACACTCGATTCATCGATTGAATCACTGCAACGTTAGCACAATTATCACAAATACCAAACAACAATTTATTCATACAACAATCACTCACAACAATAATTTTACACAATCCAATTCCTACGTGACATGCATCATAATTCCCATTATAGAATCAGAACCCCACCCTTACCTTAGATTGTAGGTTGCTCTACGATTTTTCGATTGAACCCAACTTTACCTCTTTTCCTCTTCTCTGTAACTTCTCACGTACAATACTTTTTCTACTCTTTCTCTTAACCCTTTTTAATTAACTTAATTTCTATTATTAAACTTAACCTAATAATATATTATTATTTTTATTGGGCCTAATTTTCACCCCCCCTTAATACCACGTCTATCACCAAAACAAGCCCAACAACTAATACTATTAATATTCTACAAATCTAATATTATTACTAATATTATTAATCAACTAATTTAACCGACTAATAACAACACCGCAACTTATGCCAACAACTCACAACATAACACAACATGTCAACAATTTCAACAAATAATTCACAATTAATCGAAAATACTTAATTAAATAATTAATTAAATTAACGGGCGTTACAACTCTCCCCCACTTAGGATATTTTCGTTCTAAAAAATGTACCTTGTTCAAACAACTCAGAATAGGAGCCCCGCATCTTGCTTTCCAACTCTCACGTCATGTTTTCTCCGACAGCCCCTAGCCAGACTACTTTCACCATAGAAATATCTTTTCCTCTTAGAGTCTTCATTTCACGATCCGCGATCCGTACATGCATCGTCTCCATAGTAAGATTATCCCGTACTTGAACATCATCCATATGAATCATATGAGATGGATCTGAAATATATTTCCGGAGTTGCGACACATGGAACACATCGTGCAAATTCGAAATATTAGGTGGTAAAGTCACTCTTTATGCAACCTTGCTAACTCTCTCTGAAATCTGATGCGAACCAATAAAACGAGGAGTGAGCTTCTTAGACTTCAATGCCCGTCCAACACCAGTCACAGGTGTAACTCTCAAAAACACATGGTCACCTGCTTGAAATTCTAAATCTTTTCTTCGTCTATCATGATAACTCTTCTGTCTATTTTGGGAAACTTTCATCTTTTCTCAAATTAACTTCACCTTCTCAGTGGTCTCTTGAACAATTTCAGGTTCAAGCACTACACTTTCTCCCGATTCGTGCCAATATAAAGGAGTTCTACATCTTCGACCATACAATGCTTCAAAAAGTTCCATCCCAATACTAGAATGGTAACTGTTATTATACGTGAACTCTATCAATAGAAGATAAATATCCCATGAACCTCCCTTCTCAAGAATACATGCTCTCAACAAATCTTCTAACAACTGAATAATCCGTTCAGTTTGATCATCCGCCTGAGGATGATACGCCAAACTCAACCTCAACTTAGAACCCAATGCCTCTTGCAAACTCTTTTAAAAATCAGAAGTAAACCTCGAATCTCTATCCGACACAATACATAAAGGAACACCATGCAGCTTTACAATTACACTAGTGTAAATCTATGCCAACTTTGATACTTTAAAACTGATGTTAATAGGAAAAAATGAGCCGACTTCGTAAGCCTATCAACAATCACCCACATCGAATCATGTCCCCTTGGAGTATTAGGTAACCCCGTCACAAAGTCCATCGAAATGCCATCCCATTTCCATTCTGGAACTTTTAACAGTTGCATCAACCCTGCAGACTTCTAGTGTTCAACTTTCAACTTTTAACAAGTTAAACATGCATACACAAACCGAGCCACATCACTCTTCATTCCAGGCCACCAAAACAAATTCTTCAAATCTTGATACGTTTTTTGTAGCTCCCAGATGAATGCTCAACTTGCTTCTATGACTTTCCTCAAGAATCACTTTCTTCATCTCTGCATCATCAGGAATACAAATTCAATTACGGAATCTCAACACACCTTGCACATCTAACTTAAAATCACTATTCTCGGACTGATCGATCCCAACCATCGAATCTACCAATTTTACATCAAACTTCCGAGCTTCTCTGGTACTGTCTAGAAAATCATTGTTAACCTTCAACATCCCCAACGTAACACTATGCGGTGTCACCTCGCAAACTAAGCTCATATCTCTGAACTGTTCAATTAATTCCAACTCTTTAACCATCATTGCCGACATATGTAAAGTCTTTTGACTTATTGTATCAACCACCACATTTGATTTTCCTGGATGATAATTTAAATCGAAATCATAATCCTTTAACAACTCCAACCATCTTCATTGTCTCATATTCAATTCCTTCTGATCAAATAGATACTTTAAACTCTTATGGTCGCTAAATACTTAAAATCTAGAACCATAAAGATAATGCCTCCAAATCTTCAACACAAATACAACTACAACAAGCTCTAAATAATGCATAGGGTAGTTCTTTTTATGAGTCCTTAACTGCCTTTCCACATAAGCAACTACCTTGTCATTCTGCATAAGCACACCTCCTAGACCCATATTGGAAGCATCACAATATACCACAAAAGGTTCTCCTAGATTAGGTAATGTCAAAATCGGAACCGACGTTAATCTCTTCTATAATTCTATAAAACTTTCTTCACATTGAACGTCCCATACAAAAGCTCTACCTTTACAAGTCAACTTAGTCAATGGAAGTGCCAACTTAGAAAAACCTTCGATAAACCTTCTATAATAACCAGCTAATCCCAAAAAGCTTCTAATCTCGGTAATCGACTTTGGAGTTTTCCATTGCAACACATCATCTACTTTAGATGGATCTACATCAATACCACTGCCTGAGATAACATGACCAAGAAAACTAACCTCCTTTAACCAAAATTCACACTTAGACAACTTTCCATATAACTTATTCTCTTTCAAAACTTGCAATACCATTCTTAAGTGTTCTGCATGTGCTTCTTCTGATTTAGAGTAAATCAAAATGTTATCAATGAACACCACTACAAGGCGATCCAGATAAGTATGAAAGATACAGTTTATGTACTCCATGAATACTCCCGGTGCATTAGTAACACCAAAAGGAATCATCGAATACTCATAATGTCCATAACACATTCTGAAAACCATCTTCTGGATATCTTCATCCTTCACTTTAATCTGATGGTAGCCCAACCTCAAATCAATCTTACTAAACACACGAGCATCCGCCAATTGATCCATCAAGTCATATATTCTTGGAAGCA